ATCTATTACTCCATGTTTTGTATTTGTGCCTCAAGCTTATTTGCTTAGGTCAGAACTTCTCGTTGATCTCCCTTAACCTTGTACAAACACTCTTCAGTTGATACTATTTATATAAGCCACAATTTGTTCTTTCACCCTCAATCTCATTTCCTTACTTGCAACTTTAAAGCATCATTGAACCTTAGCTGCATTATTTTGCACGAATTTTTGTTCCATACAAACTTCTTTATAAGCCTGTTATTTTTTTTATTATTATTATTTTCTCTTTTCAAAATTGCACTAGTATAGTGACTCTTTTAAAGTTTTTTTTTTTCTATTTTCACATTTTTCTTAATCATCTTAGCTAGTCTTGTCTCTAATTCTCTTACTTCTTCATCTTTAACAAATTATAGATTAGATGATTTGCCTTTTTGGGAAGTACCTAGAGCCTTGAATGGTAATTTATTCTCTTAGGCTTTTTCTTTAATCCACTAGTAGTAACTTGCTTTTGCTGCACAACGCCTTACACCCAACTCTTTTTTGAATAACTTTTGCCTAAGCATTTCTTGCTTTTTGGATTAACTTGATGAAGTTTTCATCTTCATAGTAGAAAACAAAAGGAGTCAATAAATCCTTGCAAGTTGTCCCATCATAGGATAAGTAAGTTAATGTTGCTTCATAATTAGATTATAACTGATACAGCTCTGAGTACTTATAAGAGGAACATTTGTGTAACTCCTATAATGATAAACAATATTTGTTGATGGTTGCCATAGAGTGTGCCACCTAATGTGCATTTCATTCAAGCTAGCTAGGTGGTTAGTCTATTCTTGACTATTTTTAGCTCAATTTGAAACCTTAACAAATTAGTAACCAAATATTTAATTTCACTTGACCTTTTGAAAACATAGGTTATTAGCCATATATATATATATAGCATGGGCAAACAACATATAATCATTTTTTTCTTCCTCTTATGACAACATATATAAGCTAGTAATAATAGGATTTTCAAACTAATTTTTGTATCCGAGAAACACATGTATGACAGTTAAATTGACAAAGTTATCATGTTTAGGGGAAAAAAAAGACAATATCATAAATGGTGAATGCTAAAACGTCCATGAAAATCTATTAATCTTCATTTCTTGCCAAATTATACATATGTTGCGCGAGAAATTTTCTTGTACATCTTTTATTATACCTCTCTTGGTTTGTTGCAACTATGGTGAGTGAATCTTCAAGACATTGGGTATGGTCAAGAGGGATGCATGGTGTTCCATAGAATGATACGATTGCTGACCCTCCAAAGGAAAGTCTATAATATGCTCAAATTTTTCTAATATCAAAGCACTGAAGGTCTTGAAAGATAAAACACCTTAATGGGAAATGATAATACTAAGTCAGGGCTATTATGATATCTTCTTGTACATCAACTTCCAACAATCTTAGGATATTTCCAAATCTCCTTGCTAAAGTGAGTTGATGAATTGTCTTTAGCTACTTTATTAATTCTTGTAAACTAGTGTTGTCAACTTTCTTGACTCTTAAATGTAACTTTCTTCTTAGTTCAAATGATCTGATACCATTACTTTTTTCATTTTTCTCATATACTCAAATAACTTTGTAGTTCTCAACCTATAAATGAAAGCAAAAAAGATGAGAAATTATTCAAAATCTTGTGTTTGCATTATTGATATACAGATCTTAATAATAACAAGGATCAATATTGATTTTAAACGTATAAGTTATCCATGCAAGGATCAACATTAATTTTAAATGATTAATAATCTACAAGATGCTTATATCAATGAATAAAAAATGTAATGATGGATAATGATGAAAGAACGTATGAATTATTACTCTTTCAATGGTCTCTTTGAAAATTATTATTTAATTTTCTTTAAATCTAAATTGATACCTAAAAGGATAATATTTCATATGATAGTGTAATAATGCAAGAAACATGTAAATCATTATCATTTATCTTATTTCAAAATCAATTTTAAGTTAAAATAAGTATTAAAGGGATGGCAATAAGCATGATCCTTGGATAAATGATATGCAATGAAAATAATGTAAGGAAATTTGATATAGAGAATCATGTGAATCATTAGCCCTTAGCATTTTTCCAAATTGTAGCAAAATCTCTTTATTTTAGAAAACTTTAGAGCATTAATAGTTCACATGATTTCTAAAAGGGAAGATAAGGAAAAATACTCCATTTGTGTCATATTTTAGTTTACCTATGATAAGACTTTCTTTTAATTGTAAAGACTTATCAAAAGTGACTTGTAATCTTAAAAAGCCACTAGAGCTAAGATCCAATCCCTAATATTGACCCCAAATCACATAGTGTACTAGATGTAGGCACCAAGAAAATACTTTAGTTAGGGTTTTCATGATAGTCAAATAGAATGTGCATTCAAAATTACATTCCTGCATAATTTCTCTAATGCTAAGCATACTTAGACCTAGGTATAGGGTCCTACTCAAAGTGTGCAATGAATGTGTAAGTAAGATGTACGAGGGAGCATACAAATTTTATCAATTCAACAAAAATAATAGTTGCAAAATTAAACAATACAAAATTTTCATAATAATTATCAATAGTCATTTATCTTAAGGTTAACATTGAACAATAATATCAAGAAAAATATTTACAACAAGGCTACAAGATTCAAAAACATAATTCAATTAATTCATATACTAAAGGAAAAAAAAGGTTAAATAAATAGTAACAAAATTATAAAAATTGTTAAATTAACTATTAAAAGCTTAACACTCTAAAAAAAAAATTTCCTTAGTGAAAGTTGTAGTACATCGCAACGTGGGTCACAACAATATAGCGAACATATTGTTTTATGTATGACTTAATTTAGTTGATTGATTAATAATTTGATAATTAAAAGAAAAAAATAAAATTAATAAAACATATTTTGATTAATTATTAAAATAATTACTTAGTTAATTTAAAATTAAAATATAACAAGTTTATATTGCGTAAAATATAAGGTAATATAAGTAGACATAGGTTTTTATAGCTTATAACGTATAACCATAAAAAAGTTATATGTTAATGTTATAAATTGGTATAAATATTTATTATAATATAAATTTAGAAAAACATAATTTATTAATCATGAAATAAAAGAAAGCCAAACATGAATATAAAATCTTAATTGATAGTAGAAAATTGAAGATAGAAATTTTTAAGCTTTAAAGAATCTAGATAGACCATTACAAAGAAGGCTTGTTTCGAAAGGAATTGGTTTTTCAAATGTCTCTTTTACATATTGAAATGCTATTTATAACCAAAGAAAAATGCTACAATAATTATTAGTACTATTACTGGATGCTTAATTGTGAAGTTTTTACTATTAATGAATTTATTCTTTTATCTTGTCATATGTTTTTCTTATTGTTGTACTATTGAATGATTCCTTCTTTTGTTTTGTCAATAGTTCACTTTTGTTTGCTTTAAAATTAAGGATTTTGTTAACTTCAATCCTTAGGATTAAGGATAAACAGCTAATAATAGTAAAATTATATTAGAAAGAGAAATATTTATTGTATTTCTATAACTTCAATATAATAACGATATATTTTTTTCATAAAAATTTTCTATTTGTAAATGTTTAAATTCAGTCTTAAGGGCTCAGGTTAACAAAATTCTAAATTTAAAAGTATAATATTATTATTTATTGTAAAAGAAAAAAAAAGTAGAATATTATATTTATCACATTATAATAATAAAAAAAGTAATTAAAAAAATAAATTCATCAATTAAAAGAAGCAATTGATAAAGAGCTATAAAAAAAATGCTTAAAAGAAAAAGGTTGAAGAGAGACTTTTCTGTAAATATTTAAAATATATTTAAAGACTTATTTATAAATATTAATTTTAAATAATTAAATATTAAAAAATTATATAATGTGGCAATGATGAGTTAGTTTATCATAAAAAAAGTTGATGACATAAACTAAATCTTAATTTTTAAAAAAAATTCAAAAATTAAATCCTAACCAAAAACTTTTGAATGACTTATCATAAAGGAGGTTACTTTTACTTTTATTTATATATATATATACCTATTTCACACTACATTTGAGTGTGGACAAATGATTCTTGTTCTAGGTGTAATAAGAGTGTGATTATTTGGTGAAATTATAAGCAAGTCAGTTTTTTCATTTTCAGCATTTGGCAAACTTAACTTTCTTTTCTTTTCTTTCGACTCATCGTCACCTACCTCAATATTTTTAAATTAATTATATTTATTCTTTTTATATCTAAAATATAATACACTATTTATTATTTTATAAACTAACCATTATCATATAATAATTAATTAATTATTACTTAAACAAATTATTATTATATAATTATAACCTATAGTAGAAATGTTTATGAATTTTGTTGACATAATAAACTCAACCTATCTAATTAAAAATTAATGAGTTGATTCAAGTAAAAATTTTAGCTCGTTAATATAAAAGTTGAGTTGTTAATTTATAATATTAAAATTTAATTCAATCGAATAACTCATAACATATTTTTTCTTTTTATATTATTTTGATTCCATTTAGTTTGTTTGAACTGAAAAATTAAAAATTATTGATTAATTAATTTTTAATTTTTAAATATTGTGTATTACTATAAGTGTAAATAAATATTGAAATTTGTATTTTATAATTTATAAGAGATTTTTTTTAACTAGTTTAATTCTTTATTTTAGATAAATATTAAATTATTAGTAATACATTATATTTTAAAAAAATTATCATTTAGTTTCAATAAATTTGTTATCAACGAGATTAGAATTAAGTTATCAATTGTATAATTTTTGTGTACGTTGTTAGCTATGCTAATTCATTTACTCAACCCATTATCGGTTAATTGTTTTTTTAATCAAAACTGACGCAATCCGATTTATGAAATTTTGATTATTTTCTATATCAAAATTCATCACACTCCACTCATGATCTTGTCTACTTTGTAGAGGTTTTGATTCAGGGTTCTATCGCTATTTTCCCTCCATCCTTGAAAATAGCAAACTACTTTGCCTGCCATTGCCAGCAGTTTTTTGCATTAGCTCTTATTTTTATTACAAAAACTAAAATCTAATCTTTTTATAATACCAATGGCAAAAGAACAGCAAAAGCAGCATCCCTGGGGAATCACCAACTCTTTTCAAAATCAGGTTCATACCCATTTTTCTCTTTTCGCTCTCGCTTGTTTATATAAATGAAAAAACGGTACTTGTATAATCTAGATCTTATATATGTACATCAACCAGTGTGTGTGATCTTCAAACTTCACTTTTAGTCCTAATGACACAGATAGATAGATAATGTGATATTGTGAAATTAAGTGCGAATTGCAGGGTAAAGGTGAAGAAAAACAATTGGAAGTGGAGAACGAGGAAACTGAGGCCCCCTTGCCTCTGAGCGTTACTTCCAAGGTAGATTATGCAACCGGGTTTTTGCTGCAATGAAAAAGTTTGAAACTTGTTTGGTGAATGCAGGTTTTGTACATGTTGGGAGACATCACAGCAGGGCCTGCGTTTATGTTCACGCAATGGCTCCAATTAGTTCGTAAACGCACTTCTAATTATCGCTCTTCTGGCTTCCCTCACCGTCCTTCCACCATGCCTTCTAGGTTCTCTTCTCTCTCTCTCTCTCTCTCTCTCTCTCTCTCTCTCTATTTCTCTATTGCATTTGCACTATGTTTCATGATTGTCGTTGAGAATGTAATATAATGTCTTAGACAGATGCTACGGATATGTATGTATGGTTCAAGAAAATGTTTTCATAAATAATTACAAAAATGCCATGTTGATTTTTCACTTTTTGGTTCCTTGTTTTTAAAATTGTGTCCAAGAAATGGTGAAAATAATATGTAATTGTTTGTGAAAATAAGAAGTAAAAACAAACTGTTGAGTTTTTCCAAAATAAATAGGCCAAAAGTTTTATGTTTTTTGGAAGGGGTGTGATAAGAATTTAGTATGCTTTCTAAAGTGGTTGCTAAGGGTGATTTAATCTGTTTTCAGCCCGGGAGAATCTACCGAGGATGCAAAAATTGATCACCAAACAGAAATTAGTTTGTGGGAGAGGCTTGGCAAAGCTGAAATGTTGGACATTGAATCAAGCTCCTTTTCTTGGGATAGGCTCTCTTCACTCCACCATACTGAGCACACAAGCAGCAATGAACACTCTGAGGATGAAATGAACAGAGCTCTTGAGGTTTGCTATTTTTCTATACTCTTAAATAATCTTGTTTACAATTATTATACTTAATGTATAATGTTAAGGGCTTTTCTTCATTAAGTTTTCACCTAAGTGCTTCCATATCTATTCTGTTAATTGATTCTTTCTGGGTGTTAAGCTTTTCCCATGTAGTTGGGTTCATCTAAAGAAGTGTCTTTGCTAACAAGAGCCAAGAAATAAAATGAAAATGGAAAGTTTTTATTGAAAATCAAACTTGACTGCATTGGAAACCATGAGGGGAAGTTCATTAATAACATATTTTAATAAAAGCTTTCAATTTTTTATTTCATACCCTCAATGTCATAATTCATAACCAGTTAACCACTGTCCTGTCCTTAGGGCACTTGTTAGCATTTACCTAAAAAAATCATTGTTGTACCAATTTTTGAGTTTTCTTTTGTAGTACAGAAACATTTGCATAAACTGTTTATTTTCTTTACTTCTGCCTCAGTTTCTTATCAGATGTGTGCACATAGGTAACAGTAAATTCGGGAGGAGTAGTCTTCTTTGCCTTATTCAATGGCCTTGGGAGTGATGATATTTTTGGAAAAGAAGTGGCAGCTGTTATAAAGATATCATCTTCCAGAATGGCAACACAATCCGAACGCCTTGGTTATGAATTTGCCAAGTGGTTGGGAGTCCAAACTCCACAGGTTTTTTCCTTACTTTTTATCTAACATGACCATCAGATTTGTAAGCTTAGGGTATCAAGCTGAAGTTCTATCATATTCATTCTTTACTTTGATTTGGAATACTAGGCTAGAGTCATTCACAATACCAGTTTAGAGTGGCTCCAAATAAAAGAGGCTACAGAAAAAGCAAGAGATGCAGCAAGTTCTGCGGGTGATGAAATTAGTGAAATGACATGCACAGAACTTTTGGAAGCACTTGAGCTTAGCCGATGTCTATTGTTTATGAGGTATTATTCAGTTCTAGAATTAATAAGATATGGTTTATAACATGGCAGCATGAGATATCTTGTTTGGCTTGTTACTTTTCAACCTATTGATGATTCTTTGTTTCCTAGAAACAACTGTGCACAACTGCTCATAATTGGGCGTGATGTGGTTGTTTCAATTTTCAAATGTGGAATGCAATCACCAAAAGATAACTAACTCTTTTTTTGTGCTCTTCTCCATGTGATGATGGTGTGCAATATGTTGGAAGTTGGACTGCAGTAGTATGTAAATTATGTCGTTTTGTTAAGCTAAATCAAATCCAGTATCACTATTTCCCAGGACAGCAATGAATATAGCATCTTCCATGCAAAAGCACATGGCTATTCTTCAATAATATAATTTTGATTGTTTATTCTAAAGATTCACCATCTATTCTTCTTGCAGTTATGTACATGGTTCACCCATGCTTGAAAGCTCAGGTGCATTTGAATCACAGGAATATGCTGAAAGAACATCAGCAGCCCTTGGCAGGGTAATGATGCTAGACCTTGTCATCAGAAATGAAGATAGGCTCCCTTGCCGTCAACTTAGATGGCGTGGGAACTCTGCAAACTTGTTATTGGCTGAAAAGATGATATCTACAAGTACAGATATAATAGGAGAAACTTTTGATTCTGCAGCAGTCCGATATGGACCAAGGGTGAGTAGGGCGCTTCATAAAGAAAGAAGGTCAATTTCAGTAGATAGCAGATTGAATTCTCATAATCATAATCCTGGATTGGTATCACAAGGCTCTGGTCTTTCAGACATCACAGAATCATCAATACCCGCAGACATGAGCCTTAAAAGTCAAACATCAGGAGAATCAATGTTTTCTGACTTTAGCATTGTTGCTATTGATTCTGGGGTTCCCCGCCGACCACCTGCTGGAAAACGTGCAGATGACCAGGTTAATTATCCTAAGTTGGTTGAGTTACTACTCAATAGCTCAGAGTTTTCCTCTAACCTGTTACATGAGATAACTGGAGGGAGATTAGGACATCCTCCCCCAGAAGACACAAATGCAACAACTGATGTTCATGCGGGTGATGTAGCCTCAGTAGTCCATGAGTTCCGTACTGGTTTTCGTGCTGCTCTTAGGGATCTGCAGGGATTCCATATATTCCTACTCACACTTCACCAAAAACTTGATAACTTGTTAAGATCATTTATGACTACTATAAGCAGAGTACCATCAGGGGAGTCTGAAAAAGAGGATGCAGTGGTTCCTGATTCACCTTCACTAGCTACTGCTGGCAATTTTTCCTCTCCAACAAGTAAGGAGAGGTTTTCCAATGACATCCATCAAGATTTTAGTGATTCAGAATCACAGAGAACTGCTCCAAGGGCATCATCATCTTCTGGTAATAGAGATTACTGCGACTCTGCTTCTTCTCTGCCAAGAGAATGTTGGCATGGAAAGCACTCTAAAGGAAGTGGGGAGTCACTTCGTGGTCTCCGCTTGACAACTAAGCTCCGTGACTTCCATAAATTTGCCAAGGTTGGTCTCTAGTTAACATAAACTTGTTTACTAATTCATGGTTTTGGTACAACTGATATAGTTGTCAAGTTGTTTTGGTGCATTTTTTATTTATTTTTGGATAGATAAAAAATAGTCGGTCTGTAACATATTGCAAAATAAAATGATTTTATTGCAAGTCTATTTTCACAAAATCAATAAATGTGGACAATATTTAAGAGTTGTGTTAAGAATGTTTATGGCTATTAAGAATGAACATAAATTTTGGGGAATCAGTTTTAGTTGTTTTTTTGGAGACTCAGAAGCATAAACCAGAAATAGTGCATTTGAAAATGTGGGTTTCCTCGAAGTAAAATATTTTCTTGTAGTTCTATTTCTATTTCTCTTATAGAAGTATTGCAACTTGCTCTTCTCTGCCATGTGAAACTGCATTCTACCTTGCGTTCCCTCTCTCTCTCTCTCTTATCTTATTCTTATCATAATTTCCAGGTTGACTCTGAATCTAATAAAGAATTGGAACAGTGGAATGAACTGCTTAAAAACGATGCTGTCAAGTTGTGCCAGGAGAATAATTTCAATACAGGATTTTTTGAGGGTAGTGATAACAACACTGTTGTTGATGCATATGAGTTGAAGGTATCTTGGTTAAAAATAGCATGCAAAACCAATATATTGGACTCATTTCATTTACGAAGGATTCATATTCGCAGAAAGCATTTACTTTATTAACTTTCAGGTCAGGCTTGAGCATATCCTTGAGAGGATTGCATTGATATCCGAGGCTGCAAATACAGAGAGGCCATCAACTGTTACAAATAGTCTGTTCATTGGTGGTGCACTGGCTGCAAGATCTACATACACACTGCAACACTTAGGAATCACTCATATTATGTGCTTGTGTACAAATGAAATTGGTCAGTCAAGTTCTCAGTTTCCTGATCTATTCACATACAAAAATTTCTCTGTAAGTTGTACTCTCCTGTCTATGTTGTACCACAATTATTCTGTTGGTTCTGTAAGGTACCAAATTTACTTTCAATATGAGGTTCTGCTCAAGAATGAGTCTTCACATTGGTTCTGTTCAATCTCCCATTTGAACAGGTGTGTGACAATGAAGATTCTAACATCAGCAGCATATTTGAAGAGGCTTGTGATTTTATAGACTATGTTGAGCAAACTGGTCTGAGAGTTTTAGTTCATTGCTTTGAAGGGAAAAGCAGAAGTGTCACTTTGGTCCTTGCATACTTAATGCTGAGGAAGTAAGTAAAAATATAAATACAATCTTAGATATGGTGCTCAAAACTGGTGTTGCTATGGAGTTGGGCCAGTTGGCCCTCTATAACCCATTAATGTTGCACTTGCACTTACAATTCAATAATTGAATCTTAATAACTAATTATATTATTAGATACATTTTATCAGTAAACTAATTTTTTCTATAATTATCCATTATTTACCCGGTTAGGGGCCTTAAAGTATTATTATTCAGTATGTGGAACACTTGCAACTATAAGCTTATATTACTGCTAGTGACAACAGTTTAGAAACTAAAAGCTTTTGTAACGTAGGAAGTTCACTTTGTTAGAAGCATGGAATGCTCTGAAACGAGTTCATCGTCGATCACAGCCCAATGATGGTTTTGCAAAGATCTTACTGGAACTGGATCAGAAACTGCATGGGAAGGTTTCAATGGAGTGGCAGCAGCGGAAACCAATGATGAAAATTTGCCCTATTTGTGGCAAGAATGCTGGACTAAGCAGTAGCTCACTGAAGCTCCATCTTCAGAAATCTCATAAAAAGCTATCCTCAGGGAGTGTAGATAGTGCCATGACAATGGAGATCCAAAAGGCATTAACAGCTTTGAAGATTAGCCGTGGTGGGAGTGTTAGCCCCTCCCAAAGGCAGTCGCATTCAATGATAGATCAATAGATTACTCTTCCAAATACAACGAATGGTCATTCATCATTTTATTTTCATGTTAGGAGTTGAGTGTGGCTAGATTTTAGCAACACAAGCAGCTAAGTGCCTGTTTGTATAGGCAAGTTAACTCCGTTTTTTCATAATTGAGAATTTCACTGCTCACAAAACCTGCATTGTAATTCATATAAACGGAGTTTTCAATCTATACAAACAGGCTGTAAGCTTTTTTTTTGTTTTTCTTTTAAAAGTGCAAGTAAAATAGGGATTCGGAAGTGGGTTCAATTGCTTCCCTGATTCATTGTTGTACATAGTTGGTACAAAGTATACTCGTTGGGATAGTTGTAATTTGTGGAACTGTCGTGATTAAGCTTTTTCACAAGCTAAGCAACGGATTAGTTAGGTGATTATCATATTAAAATATAACGGTGTATGAATAGCGGGAGTTCGATTCAATTGTTGCTGGCCATTATGGTTAGAATAGACTAGGTAAAGTTAGTTGCTGTATGGCCTGTCTAATCTTTTATTTTTGTTTATCTTAAAAATATATTTAAAAAATTGTTATATAATAATCTTTGTAAGTTAAAAAAGTCATCTTGAAATAGGTTAACAAGACTACGTAAATTAACAGGTCTTTGTTCTAAAACATTAATGTATCGTCCAACTTTTTTATTATTTTTGTTATCATTATAACTTATTTGATAAACTTAGAAGAATTTTTAAATAATTTAAGATTTGACTTTTTTTAATTTAATAAATTTCAAAATTTTAAATTGACTTATTAAATAAACTCAACCTCCCCTAAACCCAACCAGGCTCCAAATGAAAAATAAATGACCTCTTTCATTCCCTGCTAGTAACTTTTTCTTGACCCAAAAAAAAGTGCGTATCAATGAAATTTTGGTGACATCGTCGGATTCAAATTGATCTAATTTCCCCGACCCTGTTACCTGTCATTAAATGTGCAAGCATTTGTGAATACATGCATTGCAGTTTCAACTTTCAAGCAATGAATACGCCGTAACGATGATTTACAGTAACGCTGGGATATTACAGCACGGTCCAACCATTGAAATCATAAAAACACCCCAGCTTCCAACGGAATAGTTCAGTGATGCACTGTCCATGGTATATACCAAACACAGCTCTCATTCTCACCCCCACACCCTCTTTAGTTTAGGGTGGTAACCCCCCGCTACCCACCCCCTTTCTCAACCTGTTTTGCTTGGGTATGGGCAAGCATAACTGGGCCTACCAGTGATCAATTACAAGCTTTCGGAACATCAACAAGTAAAAACAGACAAAGACTATGGTTTAAATAAATTAAGTAAACATGTACTAGCAAAGGTACCCACATTATACGGGGAGAGCCTCAGGTAAAGACTCTGGCGTACCGCTGCTACCATTTAGCACAATCACGTTACCATCAGAATCAACATCCACTATAACAGAGTCTCCCTCTTTGATCTCTCTAGCAAGCATCTTCTCAGCCATGCTGTCCTCCAAAAGCCGCATTATGGCTCTTCTTAGTGGCCTGGCTCCATAACTAGGATTATATCCTTCCTCAACCACTCTGTCCCTAAATCTTTCTGTCACTTGAAGCTCAATATCTTTTTTCTTCAGTCTATCAAACACCTCTTTGAGCATTATGTCAGCAATTTCCTTCACCTCCAGTTTTGTTAGCTGCCTGAAAACAATCATTTCATCCAACCTATTTAAAAATTCTGGCCTAAAGTATTGTTTTAGCTCCTCAGTCACCAAGCTCTTGATTCTGTTATAACTGCTATCCTTCTCATCATAATCCAAATCAAAACCAATTCGGCGGCCTCCTTTCTCAATCACGCTGCTTCCAACATTTGATGTCATTATAAGAAGTGTGTTCTTGAAATCCACAGTTCTACCCTTACTGTCTGTTAGTCTTCCATCTTCCAGGATCTGAAGCATCATGTTGAATACATCTGGATGGGCTTTCTCAATCTCATCAAATAGTACAACAGTGTAAGGACGACGCCGAACTGCCTCAGTCAATTGACCTCCTTCAGTGTAACCAACATATCCAGGGGGCGAACCAATAAGTTTGGAGACAGTGTGCCTTTCCATAAATTCACTCATGTCAAGCCGAATCATGGCTTCTTCAGAGCCAAAGTAGTATGCAGCCAATGCTTTGGCCAATTCAGACTTCCCTACACCAGTTGGACCAGAAAATATGAAGCTGGCAATTGGTCGATTAGGGTTTTTCAATCCAACCCGGGCCCGTCGGATAGCGCGACTTATGGCTTTTACTGCTTCATCCTGACCAATGACTCGCTTGTGTAAAGTCTCTTCCATCTTAAGGAGGCGATCAGATTCATCTGTTGAGACTTTTTCAACAGGAATACCAGTCCAGGATGAAACAATATGCTGTATATCAGCTTCAGTCACTACAGGACCTCCATCCCCTGCCTCACTCTCTGCCTTGCTCATCTCCTTGCCTTTCTCTACAAGTGTTGAGATCTGTGCCTTAAGATCCATTTCTCTATCTCGTAGCTCTCCAGCCTATTCAGAAATTCATGTCACATAACCCACAAATTATTAGCCAAGAAAGGAACCACACATTACATCATTCTTTAAACTCAACAAACTAAAACAGAAGCCAATGTATAGTTATAATCGACAAAATGCCAGTCATTCTTTGTGTTACTTAAGCAAAAACGTATAACTTTCCTTCAACAAGGTAGCTGATAATCTTCATGCAAACGGATGCAAAAACTTGGGTGAGACATTACCTTTTCGAAGTCTTGGTTGCGTACAGCTTCTTCTTTCTCCTTAACAATCTGCCTGACCTCCTTGTCCAGTTCTCTTGCTTCTTCCGGTAACTAGAAGTACATCAAGTTTGGGGTCCAAATTAGCTTGATAATAGAAACTATAACTGCTAGTTGAAGGATAGACAAACAATGTATATATATATACCTGTGCATGTTGAAGCCGAACTCGTGAACCTGCTTCATCAATCAAATCTATAGCTTTGTCGGGCAAAAATCGATCACTGCAGATCAGGATATTTTTGGTTACAGTATACGGCAAGAAGGGGAAAAGGACATAAATAGCATTTTGATTAACACAGATCTCAATCACACAGACATATTAGAATTCCAACACAAATAATGTCATAATTCAAAGAGGACGAGAAGTTTGACATATACTTCAGCGTAATTCAGTGGAAAATTTCCATTAAGATTCAGTATTGAAAAAAAATGGTATACCAGCATAAATGACAAGGCATTTAATGAATATAGAAGGTGCAGAGATGAATTATGACAAACCTGATATACTGATACGATAGCTGAGCTGCAGCTACAAGAGCCTCATCAGTATAGCGAAGCTTGTGGTGAATTTCATATCGTTCTCTAAGTCCTTTCAGTATTTGTATGGTTTCATCTACAGTTGGCTCTGGCACTCTAACTGGCTGGAATCGTCTCTCCAAAGCTGGATCTTTTTCAATGTGCTTCCTGTATTCATCCAATGTTGTGGCTCCGATACACTGCAGAAATATTTAAATAAACACCCCAGTACAATGCCATCAACTGCGACTGAATTTAACACATTCAATAATTAACTAGTTGTTCATTGTGGCGAGTTCAGTCTGGGCATAAGAACCTTCGAAATAGGTCTACATTGACAATAATGGATTCTATTATCAACCCAGATTGAAACTGTTGGAAATGCCAAACTTGAATTTACAGACCTTCAGCATTTTATTTAATTCTGACTAATAGCAAGCAACAACTTTGACTGTATATTAGAATTGTAACTAGATAGCTGACTCAAAGCAGACCTATTAAATATCTCAAAATGGTTTTAACTTTTAACTGTTTATGAACATTGACTGACCAGAAGAAAGATCATATATTCATTTTGCATATTGTGGAATTACAAAGACAATTTTATGACCAGAGAAAGTCTTTTGTCCCTTGAATATGCAAAAGTTTGAGTGATACCAATAAAATCCAACAACTGAAAACCCATTCTTTCTCCCTCTACATAATATATTGAGTACAAGGTCAGAGTCAGCAAGCAGTAAATCCATTATGAACATGTCAAGGGAAAATACTACCTGTAGTTCACCTCTTGCAAGAGCTGGTTTTAGTATGTTAGCAGCATCAATTGCCCCTTCTGCTGCTCCTGCTCCAATCAAAGTGTGCACTTCATCAATAAAAAGTATTATCTCATCACTTTGTTTGATTTCTTCCATCAGTTTCTTCAACCTCTCCTCAAATTCACCACGATATTTAGTTCCAGCAACAAGCAGACCCATATCAAGGGTTATAACCTAATTCATGCAGAACAAAGTACATTATTAGAAAACATTGGGTATAAAACCATTCATATGCCTTTCACGTAACAGTTTATGGTAAAAGGGGCTCCCTTGGGCATGGTTAGGACTTTGATCCTTGCTGCCCTTAGTTTTCCATATAAAAATAAAACTTCAGGATATGGTACAAAAGGATAATTACATTGTCCACAGTTCAAGCCCAAAATGCTCTTGCATGAGGGGGTGTGTTAGACATGAAATCATTTATGTACCTTCACCTAAAAGGTTTAGGTTTTTGAATAGTTGGTTTGTGACATAATAGAGTGGAAAAGTTATCAAAGGGTAACTACTCAACACAAATCCGTTGAAACTGCATTGATCATGATCATCCATGTGTTATCATAAATTTGAAACGATAATTAAAAATGATTTTAAATACACGTACTTACCCACTTGCTTGCTATTAATTTGATAGTCTTGATATACATGTTGAAAACAGATTATTCTATGCCCAATATAATTGAGCAAAGAAGGCATTCACATTATTCAAGAGTCAGGACTCATTGCACTCATACTGAACACACACCCACAAATCCGATAATTTTAAACAGTAGGTCCTAAACTGAAATACCAACATGAAATTAATATCAATCATATGACTCAAAATGAGACAGCATGCCCAGATACAGGCATGATCATGGTGGTGCCATAAAACTCCTTTTTGTCAACATGTATAAAATTCCACAAATATAATGACATATTGTTGTAGAATTACTTTACATATATCCAGCAAGTTGAATATGTTAAATAGTGCCGAAAACAAAAATCAATTTTAAGAATTGCAGAGGTAAAATGATTTCTACAAACCTTTTTTCCCTCTATGGTTTCAGGTACATCACCATTTGCAATCCGTTGAGCAAGACCTTCAGCAATTGCTGTCTTCCCAACACCAGGCTCTCCAATAAGACAAGGATTATTTTTGGTGCGACGGCCTAAAATTTGAGTGACACGTTCAATTTGCTGCTGCCTTCCCACAACAGGATCCAATTTTCCCTGGGTGCAGATGAGAAATAGTTAGCTTTTATGCACACTAAAGCATAATCAGCATCGTCATGAAGGAAACTAGGAACTGTCATCACCTCCTCTGCTAGCTTGGTCAAATTGGTACCATACTCCTCCAAAGTTGGCATCTTATTGCCACTACTTCCTGAGCCAACAGTAGCAGTAACACTGTCAGCACTCTCACCCACCATGCGAATAACCTGTACCCATCCAATGGAAATTCTAAGATCAACATAAAATTTAAGATTAAAAAAGAATACATTCATGTAAACAGAAATTTGTGGGAAAAATGGTAAATGAAGGTATAGTACTAGCCTGTGTGCGAATATTAGTAGGATCAGCACCCAGATTTTCAAGCACACGTGCTGCAACACCCTCACCCTCTCGAAGAAGACCCAGAAGCAGGTGCTCAGATCCAATATAATTGTGACCTGAAAATATCAAGGGTTAAAACTCAAAGTTCCAGCATCTAAAACAAAATATTACATATAATTTTATCCCCATACACAGGGCCGCATTGAACAAAAAATATTAACACAGTCTCCAACTCTTTTTCAAATGCATTTAGAGCAAGAGTGTGCCAGACTCCCAGCTAGTAGTAGCAGACAAACTTTGCATGTAGAGGTTTGGTGCAATTGACTCAACAGACATACAAGAAGTATTAAGCAAAGGTTTTAAGACAAGATAAGTTTCTTGCATCATTACATTTCATGACTTCTATTTTTTCTGTAAGTAGTAGAGTAGTAGTAATAATAGGGTAGCTTGCTCAATCTATCACTTTGTCCTTTCTCCTCTATACCTAATCAAAATTTAGACTCATTGAGTAAGCAGATATATATATATATATATATATATATATATATATATATATACACACACATTACAGATCCAATATAACTAAATCAATTCTACCTTATTGAGTAACAATCACACCAGAAAAACCATGAGAGCGCCACTAGGAATACAGATGGCTTGAAGTTGAAGAAACATATGCTTTTACTGACTTATAAATTAAGTAAAACCAAAAAAAAAAAAAGTAAGAAGTGAAAAAGATGTTTACCAAGTTGGCGAGCTTCCTCCAGCGAAAGTTCCAAAACACGCTTTGCACGGGGAGTAAACGGAATCTCAACAGCAACAAATCCACTACCCCTTCCAATTATCTTCTCCACTTCCACACGTGCATCTTTAAGGTTTATTCCCATTGACTTCAGAACCTTGGCGGCAATACCAGTGCCTTCACCAATAAGACCCAATAGAATCTGCTCTGTTCCAACAAAATTATGACCAAGACGTCTTGCTTCCTCTTGTGCCAGCATAATTACTTTGATTGCTTTCTCTGTGAAACGCTCAAACATGGCTTTGGGTATGCATCTGGAAGCTTTTGCTCGACGTGAAGAAGTTGCAATGGATACCTTAGAATGAAAATCTAGTCCAGGTCTCAGCATAGTGTCCAAAGGATTAAAAGTGCGAAGTCCTGAAAAACCTGGCACTCTTAATCCATTTGTTCGTAAAGCACTCATCATTTTGACCGATCTTTTTAATTTTCCTGACCCCTTCTGCTGACCATGCCTTTGCCCAGCTACTATGCCAGGGACATTAATTGACTGAGCCAAAACCTTAGCCATAATTCCTGAATTGCTGCATTTTTTATGAAACAGATTAGCCAACAAGTAACACACCATAAGTAACAGAAAGCACTCAGATCAGATAGGCATGTGAACATGTTCCAAGCTTTCAGAATCAGCACATCAATATTTAAGGAAAAAATTTCAGAAAAGTGTGAAGGATATAAAAGATATTTCAAAACATATTTGATGAATAACAGAGACATGCTGACAAGGATCAACATCATAAAATCCAGAAATCTAGAAGCTCACAGGACAATATCTTGCTTAAATAGTTTAACAAACAGTGTCACGAACCACATTTATTTCATACTGAATCCCACCTTATAGGAATGAAGTTCAAGCAAATGTTGCCCAATGTCTGTATTATGATTGTTATATGGTAGAGGAATCAAGAATTACTTCAAATGGCCAAGACATTCTTTCAAGTTCATTATAACAAAAGAGAAAATATACTAGGCGAATTGAGGTGTGAGGAAGTTAACACCAGAACGAAACCAATAACAATATAGTTGGAGCATTTCCAAGTTAATTATCAAAATTAACAAACAAATTGTCTATTAAATGAATAAATAAATTAATTAACAAACAAACGAAAAAAGGAGTTTTTTTAAAAAAAAAAAAATCAGCCAACTAAGTAGCAACTGCAAAGATAGCGGCGAATGACAGAATAATCAACAAAACGAAAACAACCAGTTATGCATATCTCGTATCTCGTATTGGGAAAAAAAAACTAAACGAATTAATTAATATCTTAATTGTAGTTGTACAAACAATAAGAACAAAAAACAATTAAATAAAATTAAAAAAAAAAACAATTTAATTGAGCAAACACCTGGTGCTCTAAACTCTAACGGGGGATAAGGAAAAAAAAAGCCCAAAATAACTGAAAACCGTAATCGAAGCAGCTTTCGAAACCCTAATCGAAGCAGCTTTCGAGCTAAGGAACCCACGAAAAAAGTAACAGCAACACACAACAGTGAACGAATAAATGAAAATTGAGAAAACAAAAAAGTAACTCACCGGAAGCACTGCACCACAAACAAGTGATAACAATTCAATCCAGAATAACCAAAAATAAAGGAAGAGAAAAAGACGAATAATAAAAAAAAAAGACGAAGAGAGAGAGAGAGAGAGAGAGACCTAGAAAAGAGAAAATGAAGAGATTAAATTAATATATAGCGAGCGAAGAAGGGGAAGGAATAAAAATGTGGTGGGGAATAGAGGCTAACCTTCCCCAACCCTAAACTCCAAGATAGATATCTCTAATCTAATCCAATCTTATGTAACCCAAATATCTATCACACCTTCGTGTACCCTCTCTCACTCAATCATTTCTATTATCTCATCTCATGCGTCGATTCTTTCGAGGTTGTGTCTGAAAACGTGACACGTAGCCGCCTGCTATTGGCCCCACCACTCAATATTGTCTTTCCTTTTTACCCGGAGTGACTGTTTTGCCCTTTCTTCACTCGCCGCCTTAATAAAAGGCCAATGCAATGAATCAAAGGCGAAACACCAGAGATTAACTAACTAACGTTAAGTAGTAAATATCAACGTCGCTGTAGCAAAGACGTAGACGATTCCACTTTTAAATGTTGCACCTGCCAAAGTGCAACGTCAAGCGTTGCTTAATTGATTTGCTTCTTTTTGTTTGCATTTTCATTCTTCCGCTACTCCTCCGTGGGCTTCCGGCAAACCATGCATCCACAGAAAGTGAGAGTTCCATGGGAATAATATAAATCTTCTTACTAATTAAGATTAAATGTATTTTATATTTTAATGACATTAAGCGTTTTCACATTCAGATTAAAATAATAATTACTGGATAAAATACTCTTTAGTCCTATCTATCTCTCAAATCTATTTGTAGAAAAAAATAATTGAATACCCCTTCAACTTAACATAGTTAGATACTCTATGTCAGAATTAAAAGGTAATTAATTTAATTAGCAGTAACAAAAATCAGATTGATTCAGCAAGCTCATTAATCTATAACAATATTCATAAAAGAAAAGTAAAAAAATACAGTAAAAAGTAAACTTTTTATTATTAAATAACATTTATTATTTAAAATTGAATCTGACTTCAATATTGAAATATTTTTTTGCAGATACCCTTCTTACCTTAACGACAGTCAAAAGAACATCAATATTCTAGAATAGATAGTTAAAATTGTAGGCCAGGATGAGTCGACATCGAGATCTCTGTTTGTAGGAGTAATATTAAGGTGGTTTTTGGTTGCTAGTTTAGTCACTTCCTACTTGCTTGTTTATTTTTGGTCATGTAGTAAACAATGTACTGGCTAGTTACTGTAGTTGGTAGGTTATCATAGGGTCGATGAGCTGTGGTGTGGATGAAGCATAGTTTGGGCCAAACTATTCAATTGGGCGAGTAAAGTTCATATATTGACCTACGTAGTCATTAAAACAAGATATTAAGCTACATACGAAAAAGCCCAAAGGCAACATCGGCTACACTAAAAGTTGTGTCAACCAAAAATATATAGTTGTGTAAGGATACGCTAGGAGGTTTGTTAGCACTTGGCCTAACTCACTTTAGGTTTAAATTAAGCTAATTTTATTTATTAAATAAATTATATTAATATTTTCATGAAATTTTGTTTAGTTAAAAAAATGGTTAGGTTTTATATCATTCAAAAGGTCTTTTTTAAGTATAATCGGTACTTGATGCATTTAAATAAATTTGAATAACATAATATTACAGTTGTTATATTATACTTTTAATAAAATGTTTGACATTATATACTTATAGCTATATTTTAAAACTTACTCTTTTGTTTGGTTCATGTTAAAAATAGGAACGAAAGAAATAAGAGAGAGAAAATTTAGATAAAAAAGAAAGTGATATAAATGAGTAATTTTTAAGTTGCTTGATATGAAAGAAATATTAAAAAAATTGGAAAGAAAGAAAGAAATTTTTTTTTCTACTTGTTTGATTGAAAAAAATCAAATAAAATTACTTTTAATTAAATAGACAATTTTCTCCTTAAACTAATGAAAGTTCTATAATGCAATATTGATATTATTCTTTTATTTTATTATTTTTAGTTGAATCAAATAATATAAAAATTATTTTAAACTTATTAAAATCTAATACTATTTGATGTGATAAAATAAATATTTTTATTTATATAGATACTATATACTGCTCTATTGGAGTTCATTGGATTCTAAGAAGCATGATTTGCTTCAACCATAAACAAACACTACAAATCTTTGGTATCAATTTTTTTTATCACTTTGTTATTTGTTTAGAAGTTTGTAAAATTGTTTGGGTTAGTCTAATTGTTTGTATAACCCATCTCAATGGGTTGAAAGGAATAAATGTTTGTACACTACTTTTAATCATGATTCCAACTTGATATGAGACTTTTTAAGGAATGGATTAGAAGCTCTTCATTTTTTAAGGCTAACGGATTTGCCTCACACATACATTTTTGTGGCTTAAGTTATCCTTTCAAGTTCCAATGTTAATGTCCTGCCAAAGTTTCACTCAAGCCTATAACATCGTTGCACTCAACTATATTTGAGATATTGTTTGCTTTGATTCTTGTGGATCTCACTATATTTATTTTTTAAAGATATTTTGATGAGTTGAGCAACATGAATATACATAGACAATTATTGACTTGACTTCTATTTAATGTATGACTTTTTGATATATTAAAGTACCGTTGAAACCCATGTAATTAATTATGTAACATAATTTTTCCAATTTACTCTATTTGAAGAAAATAAATGAAAAATAAAATACAACCCCTATCTTATCTTTCTTGTTTGGGTTGGCAAGAATTATAAAAGTGTGGGACCATTTTTCATTTTTCTCCTTTATAAGTTTTAGAATATACTAAATCACGAAAACAATTTCGAAATAATTTTTTTCTTTTTTACAATTTTTTTTCAATTTCTTTCTTATGTCAAATTTTTTCAATTTTTTTTTTGTAATATTAACCTATTTAAGCATACTTAGAGATATGTATGCTATCCTACTTGAAAATAATTATTTAAAATGTATTATCAATAAAATATCAATTAACAATAAATTATTATATTTTTTTCCTACTTGATGTATGAAAATTAACTAAGTTTTAGTTAAATTTTATGATATTATTTGATAAAATGTTTATGTGTTTTTAGTGTTAATAAGTATTCAAAGCATTAATGGTTAAAAAAACAATACATATTAATAGTATAAAGGAAGATAACAACAACAAAAATATTTTAAGTAAATATCTTTTTAATAACAATAAAAACAAGTAATGACATAAGAAACAAACATATTATTTAAGAAAATAATATCAAAGTTTTTAATAAAGACAAAAATAAATTTTTATTCAACTTTTTTTATACTAAAAATTAAATTACCAAAAAGAAAAATACAAAAAGTACTTTTAGTGGAGTAAGAATTCATATAAAAACCTTTTCAAAGAAGATTCACAATATGACTAATGGATATATAAATATCTCCAACAAAAATTAAGATGTTAGAAGTCATACCAAGAAGCATACATTTCAGCAAAAAACTGGACATGCATATGTGAATATAATGTCATTCTTTCATTTAAAAGTCTAATTATTCTAAGTCTTTTTTAAATGTAAAATTTTACTTTTTTGTGTGTTTAAAGTATGAAGAGATGTGTTAAAGAATACTTATATGTATGATAATTTGAAAATATATATAATCATAAAAATACTTAGATTGTTAAGTTTAAAAAAACCAGTACAAAAATACTTGAGTTGTTAGATATTGAGTTTAAGTTTTGGTTAAATAGTAAAAAAGACTTTAAGTTGTTCTTACATTTTGGAATGAATTAATATCAACTTTATTGTTCTTTTTTCCTTTTGTACTTTTAATAAAAAAAGTCTTTAGAATTTCAACTTATCTTACCTTTAATTTGAAACTAAATTTATCAAATAAATTTTTTAAATTTAATTTCTAAATTTTATGAAAACTTGATTCAACTCTCATTTTCTTATTTTCTAACCTCCAATTCAAAGCTTATCTAATATGAAACTTAACTTAATTTCACTCATATTTTATTCCTACAAGTACGCATTATACAATTATAAAATATCTTAAAAAAATAGAAAAACTGAGCTAGCATATTTTCAATGAGCTTCAAGTAGAGTACCTATTATTTTGTCTAGTTCTTTATCATATTTTTTTCTTGTGTAGTTCAAGCAAATCAAGTTACATTGAACTATCAGATAATAAAATGATGGCTAAGCAAGTATTGCCATCATCTGTATGACTAAAATGGAAGTCATTAATTTTTGCTCTTAAATAGAATTTTACCACGAATGGCTAAATTGTCATTCTATTTGGATTATTTATAATATAATGAGTTGTGTGCATATGAGTGATAAAGATCAAATGGCATAAGTTTCAAACCTAATAAAATGTCACATTTAATAAATTTTGATCAAATTCTATTCAAGTCTACAATATATAAACAATCCAAATAGTTGCACCTAGAGTCACATTGTTATTCCATTCTTTTCCATCAATTCACATCCCGTCATTCTATTTGCAAATATCTCCATTCTTTTACCAACAAATTATAAATTTGTTAACATTCTCATTGCACATGATAACTCCAATCTAATTTTGGTGAACCATTTAAGCTACCTTGCTAGTATAAATGAGTTG